GGGGCTATCTGGGCCCCCAGGGGACACGCTGGTCAAGAGGTGGGTGCTTTCAGGATGATCAGTCCCACTGTGCCCTGGAGCCACCCCTTGCCTAGCGTCCCCTCATGTGGCCTGAGCCTCCGCCACCTGCATCTTGGAAGGAGCTGCGCTCTGCACACACATGGCTGGCCTCTTGCTGGCCAGGTCCGCTCCTGCCCCAAGGGACTGTCCGGCAACCCGCCCGGCCTCACCGCCGCACACCACCGCAGTAGCGACAGTCCACCAGGAAAATGCAGCGCAGCGCCCGGGTGACCCGCACGTGGGACGTCTGCCGCACCAGCACCACGATGGCCTCCACGAACTGCACCACCAGCACAGAGGTCTGCAGGGGCGGGCACAGCACCATCAGCCCCTTGGCTGGGACAGAGAGGACTGACAGCACAGCCCTCCGCAACCCGGCACAGATGTGCAGCCCAGGGGTGACACCCCCGGGGGGCCCGGATCCCGCTCCCCGAGGCCTGGCTGAGACAGGAGAGCACGCGCCTCCCTCCAGCTGCCTGCGCTGAAAATCAGGGACCCGGCCAGGCTGCCAGGGTCAGGACAGGTCCCCAGGTGACCCTCCCCAGCAAGGCTGGGCCCAGGCATGAAGACAGGACCGAGAAAACCGGGCAGCCGCAGGGTTGGCAGACCGATGTCACCTTGACCATGGTCCGCTTGTGCCGGACGAAGGTGTGGAGGCCCAGCCACCGCAGCTTCATGCAGAGCTCACACACCACCACAGTCAGGGCGAACAGCTCCAGAGTGGCGTGTACCTGCAGGCAGGCATGCAGACGCGTCACCACTGGGCCACCCCACAGCCACCTGTCTCCTTCCTTTCCCTGCCAGGGACCTGGACAACTGCCCCCGGGCCCGCTCCCAACAAAAGGCACAGATCTAAAGGCCTGGTCACCCTGGACGCCAGACAGGCTCGGAAAGGGGGCTTTTCCCAGGACATCTGAACACAAGTTTGATATTCAAGAAACAGCCCTGAGGATCCACACAGGAGGAAAAGGAGGAAGCGCCTTGGGCTCCAGAAAGTGACAAAAAAGACAGCATTTTACAACCAACTCTGCTCCAGGAAGGACTGTGTGCCATTTACAAAAGAGCCCTAAAAAGCATTTAGGGAGTGTGAACCAAGAGCTTCAAAACCAAAGAGGAAGGGAGGGCTCCAGAACCTAACTGGAAAGCCGGACCCAGGCGACAAGAGCTGCCCTGCGGATGGAGGCCTGGGGCCGCCTTCCTCGTTTTGGATCAAATACCCACAAGCGAAGCCCTTGTCCCCCGGGGCTGTCCCCTAGCCATCTCACTGGGCCCTGGAACAAGACGGTGGCCAGACAGGGTCCCTGACCGGACACCAGCGTGGGGGTTGCCGCCTGTCAGCAGGGGAGTCCTGATCTGGGGGAGCTGCGGGCGTGAATCTCAGGAGACTCACAGAAGGGCAGGCGGGGGTGAAGGAGGGGCCTCGAGCTGCCACCCGGGCCGTGGGGCCGTGGGCTCGTGGGGTGGGGTTG